CCCCCCCCCCCCCCCCCCCATTTAAAACTCAGATCTCACTTCCTGAGCTGCAGCTGTTAGGAGGAGAACATGGTGGGGGGGAAGGGGAATGGAGAACTCAGAAGGAAAAGAGACAGGGCCAGCATCCCTGGCCCTGGCTTGCAAGGAATGCTTGGTGTGAACCAAGCTTGAGCTCTGCCTTTCTGTGCAGTGGTCGGCAAACTGCGGCTCTTTGGCTCTTTGGCCCCTTGCGTGTGGCTCTTCCACAAAATACCACGTGCGGGCGCGCATGTACAGTGCGATTGAAACTTTGTGGCCCTTGCGCAGAAGTCGGTATTTTGTGGAAGAGCCACACTCAAGGGGCCAAAGAGCCGCACGTGGCTCGAGAGCTGCAGTTTGCCGACCACTGTAGGGAATAAGCTTTCTGTGCCTATTTAAAGGCCCAGCGTTAAAGGCCCAGGCCATTGACTCTTCAATTATTAATGCAATCATAGTGATGAAAAGTTCCAGAGTGTTGAAAATTACATAATTTAATTATAAGATTTGACTATCAGAATTTCTTCAAGTAGACCTCATTTTGCAAAGACCTATATTCTCAGATTTTTGAAAACGTATTATATACCTGGCAATCCACCAGCTCTAATCTACATCTATTTCTTTTTAGTATTTATGTTAGATACTAATCTTTATTTTCTTATTTTTCATGTTTGAATTTTCCTATAGTGCCCAAGATAGTTTCTCACACTTAGTAATGGCCCAATAAACATTTCATTAATAAAATTATTTTATTCATACTGGTACATTTTGAAAGAGAAACTGAAGATGAAGAATTTGTAAATTATGCCAGTTTATAAACATAGTTTTCAGGGGCAAATAGCCCCTCTAATATTAACTAATTTATGTTATTTATATAAATACATATATATATTTAATAATATATCCTAAAAACAGGATTTTAACAAAAAAGAATAATATTTTATCTTTTGCTGGTTTAACATAAAAAATAAACACTTCTTAAAAAAAAGTAACATAGCCTTAATCTTTCCAGTAGAAAAGTGTGGTTTCATTATCCGAAAGCTAATGAACAATCATTAGAGCAATCAGTAACACTGTTTAATAGTATCCTTTTTTTTTTAAGGTACAGGGAAAACAATGGTGATGGACATGTTTTATACTTATGTGGAAATGAAGAGGAAAAAACGGGTTCATTTTCATGGTTTCATGCTAGATGTTCACAAAAGTAAGTTAACTATCTGGGAAAAGCAGTGGTTTTTAAGTGGGCAAACACTACAAAATAATTTTCCTCATCTTTTGAAATTCTGAACTTTTTAATACTTAAAAATATATTTTTGCATAAAGTAAGGTTTTATTTGTTTTGTGCTATATTGAAACAATAGTAATGTGTCCAGAGTTGGTCCTAAAGATACATCAGTACTTCCAAATATGAGGACAGGGGTTACTATATGAAGGTTAGGCATTTTTTCTTTCTGCTAAGGATCAATAAGAAATGGGAAAGCCTCACCTGTTTCAAAAAGTTATTCTTTACAACTCAGCCATAAGAAAAGATGAAATATTGCCATTTGTGACAACATGGTCGGGTCTTGAGAGCAGTATCACACTAAGCAAAGTAATTCACATGAAAAAGGACAAGAACCATATGATTTCACTCATATATGGAATATACTAATAAGACAGAAAGCCACAAACAAACAAAACAAACTCATAGACAGACAATAGTATGGTGTTTACCAGAGGGGAGGGTGGGTAGGGCGAGGTCGAAGAAGGTAAAGAGTGTCAAATATATGGTGATGGAAGGGGACTAGACTTTGGCTGGTGAGCATGCTATGCAATGTACAGGTGATGCATTATAGAATTGTACACTTGAGTTTTAAATAATGTTATTGAGTAGTGCCACTCCAATAAATTTAACTAAAAATGAAGTTATTCTTGATTAGATCATTTCCACAGTGCCACCTTAGCATGTAAGCATGCAGTTTGTACTTGTATGTATGCTTTATTGCTTTGTCCGTGTTCTTCTATTATCTCATTTTTGCATTGTCTGTGAGCTACATTGTAACCTCCCCAGGGCAGGAACATTGTGTTTTTCTTAGAATACTTTCAGCATTTAGTACACATATAATACATGAAATGGGACTGGCTCTAGTGTATCAGGCTGGAGACAAGAACATTCTGATTAGATATGCTAGACATAGGGCAGGACTGTCTCCTCAGTGCACATCCCTGAGATTCTCAGGATTAAGATTGATTTTTTGGTCCATCTATTTACCATCTAGTCATCTAGTCTATCACTTTGTCACCTCCAAAGTGATTGAAGAATAGAGATAGAATGATTACAAATATCCTTATAATCATGGGAATATAATATGTGAGCAACTTTTTTTTTAAAACATATTTTATTAATTTTTTACAGAGAGGAAGGGAGAGGGATAGAGAGTTAGACACATT